ACAGATTTTGGATTTCGAAACATACTTTCGCTTTAGATCCTTTACATATTAGCAGATATATATCTGAAATTCTATTTGATATAATCGAATGTTCAAGCTTACTTTTATAAAATTGCTCTGACAGTCTGCAAAAAATAATAAGCCGGATCCAATTCGAAGATTAAGGAACAATGCAATCTGCAACATTAACTGAATTAGATAACTTTAGCTTACCTCATACCGTCTGTTATACATTAAACGCGCTTGCGTACACGTTTTATGCGCACGTGCTCATGCATATTCGCAGCCGTAAAGGTCTCGCGCACACACGTAAACGCTATCTGCGCATGCGCAGAAAGTTTGTAGCTTTAAGGTCCGGATTATGGGTGTCCGAATTAACGACTTTTGACTGTATTCTTATCAACCGTATTTTTAGCTAAGAGCTCCCTGGCGACCGTATTGATTGCCAGAACCTCAGCTTGGGAAACAGTTATTAGTTTACCTAGGTATAAATGCAATCTAATGAAATCTTCTCCAGATCCCTTAGTTCTTATAATACCTCCAGCTCCGGTGAAGTTGGATTTTGATCCATCTGTGTAGCATTCAATTGATTCTGTTGGAATTAGGTAAATTATGTGACATAGTTCAGACATAACGATAATTTGCTTCATGTCTATCAGAGGTTCTGGATTATTTAATATTTACAAATCACATAAAAACCTCATTATGTACACTGTTGAGAGGTGGGCAAGTTAGGAGATAAAGCATGCAGAAACTAGTGGGAATATTGGTTTGTGTATTGAAACAGATTTCTAATTGTGAGAAAAGACGTTTAAAGGAAAGAAAATTAGTGTTAATTTACCAAAATGTCTGGGAAGACTTCAAATTAAAAAGACTCGTAAATATTTTGTTTTGTAACTTTTAATTTGTAATTATCCTAATACTGTTTAAGAACATGTGTCATAAATTAAATGTATTTTAAACTGTGAAATGTTATTATATTGTGATTTTAATAGTGGTCACGTAAATCTATAATGACTAACAGTATTTAACTACCTAATTTAATTATTTATAACTATGCACCTTTTTAATATCTGCATATTAAAGCAAGTTATTGCTTTTCATTACTGTGGTCACAAGATGCAGCATGAAAATGTAAAAGCAATTGTAAACTTATTCTTTGCATCTAGTGAGACTTAAAATAATACAATTTATCACCTCTGTGGCATTAGTGGCTTTTTGGAGCCTTAAAATATATTAACCAGGTTACAATCCCAGAAACTTTATGAAGGTACAGCATTAACTGCTTCAGACAGACGAAGCACAACTAACTTTTAAAACTTAACAACCGTGTCTACATCAGGCTTTCAGTTTTTTATGATCAACATTCTTCTCTCTCGGGAAGCAGCAGCACTAGCAACAGCTAATCTTCTGTTACAAATCATGCTGATTATGATTTTATTTCTCATTTTAATCTATGCCATTTGACATAAAATCTACCTGCTATTTACTAAACCTCTAAACTCAGTACATTGCAAAATGCGACATAAAAGAAAAATCAACATAAAGCTGTTAATAAAATGTCCCTAATCTTCTTTCAAATATGTCCAACTGTTATACGTGTAAAATATTTAATGCTACCTGATAAATTTTATAAAGTGGATTTTATTCTCAAATTTGTTTTATAGTTATGTTTATTGAATTATGGTTAATAAAACAACTATAATATTAATTATGTTTAATATGAATGCATTCTACTTACGGATATATTTTATTTTTAGAGGGTTATTACAAAAACAGAGTTGAGAGATAAGTTCATTGAATTTATTCAGCTCCCATTTGCTGATAGGTCCTTAATTTTTTTCATTAATGGGCCTTAAAAGTACTTAATTTCCATGTACAGAGATGTGTGCGAACCCTGGTAACATTTGTGCATTCATAACTTGCTACCTGCCAGAAGTCTGGAGATATTGTTTGAGGAAAAGGCTGAACACTTTTTTTCTGACCGGCTTCTTCCGCTATCTAAAAATAAAATTTGCCACCCACACAAGAAAGTGGTTAGTGACTCTGACTGCCATACCGAAGGGCCGGGATTCGAATCACGGAGGTCTGTCCCTTCATAGGAAGTAATGGTGGCTGCCTGAATAAAATGACTACCGCTTGTGCCCTTAGTAGTGGCCAAATCCCAAAATAGGTAGTGCCTCCCAAATTTTTTAAGAAAAAACAATCTGAAAATAAAACATTGCTCTGAAACCTTTCATAAACTGAAATTGTAAAAATCTAAGGAGCAGTTAAAATTCATTTATTTACACCATTTTAGAATTATTCCAGGCTCAAAAAACATCAAATCTTATCAGATTTAGTAAAATTTTCCTCCCAAAATAAATTACTTAAGGAACAGTAGATAGTCTTTACAAATTGAGTTTTATATGGGAGGGAAAGAAAAAAAAAGAATTCTAAGAATGTTATAGGAGGAGAAAATATTTGGTAGATTCTGCAACATTTTGTGTGAAAGGTTTGGTTTAATAATACTTGGAATGTATCAATTTTATTTAAATTTTTTGACTGAAATATTATTTGATAGAAGCATTCAAGTAAAGCACCTGTAAATTTTTATTTTTGACTAATTTCACCTGCAAGTTTCTAATTAAAAGAACTATGATTTATTTTATTAAAATTTAATTTTACATGACATTTTCTTAAACTTAAATTTGATTATTCAGTAACATGTAAAATATTAATGCTGCAGGAATGGTGATGATGTGTATTGTCTTCTGGAAAACAATTTTGCAGTCATTCAAAATGCTATGCACTGTATATAAAAATAATGCTTTTATAGAATAGTAGTTTTCAGCCTTTTTTTAAAATAAACATTATATTCCTTGGTCATGACTAAAATATCCCCATGATTGAAATTCCTCAAAGAGAATAAATGAGAATTGTTAGAAATTATTTGAAAGAGTAAAATATGATTTTATTGTGAAATGATTCCTGAAATTCATTTAAAAATGAATGAATGAATGAAAGAAACCAGATGCAGATTTTTTTAATAAAAATTTTATTCCTGCTTTTGGAATTGAGAGGTTTTAAATTCCTGTATAGTGAGAAGAATATTACTTCACTGCTTGTCACATCTTTTTGATAATATGTTGTTCAACTGAGTGGTGACCAGACTCCAGATTTATCTTATTGCGGTACTTTTGTTGTACTTTTGATTGAAAAACATTCTCACAAGCATGTGCTATTGGAAAAGATGTCTCAGATTTAATGGTACTTAAGACACTTTTACAGTGATTTGAATTGAATCGGTCGTTTGTTCTCTTCAGCCAAAAAATTGACAATTGTATTTTCTTAAAGCGCGTATCTGAAAGTTTTATCTTAAGACATTTTGATATTATCTGTCTTGCTTTCCATCAAAAAGAAGTCTAATGAACTCTAGAATAAAACACAATATTCGTTTGTCATTTATTCACAATAAATTTTTGAAGGAAGGAAAGACTTAAGAGTTATTTTCAGTTTCTCTGTAAATTTTTATAATTTTTATGTTGGCATGAATCATGGAAGATAATGTGTATCCTGAAAGCCTTTGGAATGTATAAGATGAGAAAGCTAGCCTGAGCAGTAGCAGCTCATTTTTAATAAAACCTATCATTAAAATCATATTCCTCTCAGAAATGAGTACTGGAACTTTTCACAGCTGGTTCATATAAACAAAAGGACAGTTTTCTTTGGAAGGTCACCTTACCATAGCAGGCAACATTTTTGGGTACCGATTACTTAATATAAGAATGAAAGTAATTTGGAATTGTGTGCTTTAGATTGGATAATCTGGAATTCTTTGCTTTGGATCTGTCTTCACTATTTTTGTCAACATTTTCATTTCATGTGGATATTTCTTGGTTGTTAATCTGATCTCCATTCGAAAATTTACTATTTTATATTTTACATGTAAGACAACATTCATAATTTGAATTTATGATATGATTTTTATGACAAATATTACCCAGAGGTGCAGATTTTTATTATTTTCTGTCATGTTGAAGTAGTAAAGACAAGCATTCAGATGCAACTTTCTTATACTGTACTAATATTTCTTCCTTTGTAGAGAGATAAGCTTCCTTAGGCTCAAAACCTGAAAATCATTTTTTTCTAACAGTACTTTATCTTTCAGACTCGACTTTATCTTTTAAAAGGCTGTCTTTATTCAGTAAGCCACTTATCGAATTTGATCGGTATTTCTTTTTAGGGGCAATGGAGAGAAATAGTTTTCAGCTATTCCGTTTTTGAAGTTGAAAATTGAAAATTCAGATCAAATTTTATGTACTGTAAACTGTTTTCAAATGTGTAGCTGAGGAGAGTGATCTCAAAATCAGTGGTTAATAAAACTGCAAAATACTTCTCATTATACCTGTCTTTGAAACAGAAAAATTCTGAAGCCATCTCAGAAATTATAATATGGATCATCCAACTGAATTAACTAAAACATGATGGCAAAAAGTTGTGTTCCAAACTAGTGCACCTAAAATGATTTTAATCCTAATTTTAAAACCATTTTTAACTTCTGAAATTCTTTGTTTTCTAAAATCTATGAAACCTCTTTTTAAAAAAATTATTATTATTATTTTTTTAATGTGGACTGTGTGGTGATAAATAAATTTCTCTGGACACTGTCTACTTTGAAACCTGTTGTAGCTATAGAGACATGCATTTCACACTGTCCCTGCTTACTGTATTTAGAGACTTTTTGCACTTTGAGAAAAGGAAAATTTCTTTCTACTTGCAACTGAGTCATTCATTTGATATAAAATTCTATTTTGAACAATTTATGCAATATGTTCATATCATAAAATCTTCTCATTATTCATCAAACAATTTTGACTGTGGGACTGGAATTTAAGAAAATGTGATTTGTAACTCACTCAGTTTTCTTAACTGAGCTTTTAATTTTATTTTATGGTAGGTATTCATAATGTTAAAAAAAAGCTTTATTTAATGATTTCCAATAAAATACATCTTTCTAGGCTAGCTTTTTGTGATCTTGCTGGATCTGAACGTGCATCAAAAGCTCAAACAACTGGTTTGCGACTTAAAGAAGCCGGTTGCATCAACACTTCTTTGCTTGTGCTTGGAAGATGCCTAGAGCAATTGCGTGTAAACCAAAATCTGAAGTATGCTTATTTCTAATTTTGTTTTTATTTACATGTTGTTATGCTAGGCACTGGGGAAGGGGAGGAACCATAAATTTTGATTAAAATAAAAAATGTAATGGACATATATTTCAGAGACAAAAAACTAATTCCTTTCCGAGAGAGCAAACTTACACGCCTGTTTTCTGGATTCTTTTTGGGCAAAGGAGGTGCTGTCATGATTGCCAATGCCAGTCCATGTGATTATACTTTTGATGAAACTCTGAATGTACTTAAATTCTCAGCCCTAGCTAAGGAGGTATGTTAATATATTTTAAAATAATTTACAGAATAACGTATTTTATTTATGAATGTGAGGATGTTTATATATTTCTAGAGTGAATTTTCAGTATTATGTTTAATATTTTAATAAGAAATTGCCTAATGATTAAAAATGCACCAAAAAAAATAAACTACGGAATTTTCACAATTTAATAATCTTAATCAGGTTTGCATAAATTAATATTCTTGATCATTTTATAGTGCACTGCCATTTAATGAAACCTTTTCAGATAGATGTTGCATGTATATTTGCTTCGCAGACTTACCCACTCTCTCTCTCTCTCTCTACATTGAGAATTTGGTGATTAATTTCAAAAACGTTTTTTGGTACTTTGACTTTAGCCCAATTGATATTAGTTCTATTCACACTTAATTTCTTTTAAATTTAATATATATTTAATTATAATGGCACCATTTTTCTACTGTTGTTTCATTTTATCATCTTCACTCCATTCAATATTTTATCTTCTGAAAGTGCAATCAGTATTCCAAGGAACATTTTAAATTCCAGCACATAAATGACAAATATGCATGCCATGTTATCAGTTATATTGAATAACAGAGTGTTAGGTAGCTGTACTAAAACACAGTTCTTTAAATCAAATGCTGTAAAAGGAATGCCATTTTTCAATTTTTGAGGTTTTAATTCATTTTTGTGTGGGCTTATATTTAACTGTTTTAATGTGTTTTTGATTTCAATGATTATTTTAATTTATTAAAATAATTTGAATGTAAAATAATATTTGACATTCAGGAAAGATGTGTTAAATTTTCTCCGTCTCTTACAGTTGATGATAAATGATTCCTATATGTCTATGGCATCAAGTTCACTGCAGTCTATTTCTAACCAATGGGCAAAAGCAAGGCCACGCATTTCAAATTCATCAGAAGGTAATCAAACTATAGATATGGATTACACAGCAGAAGAAATTCAAGAAAAGGATGAACTGATTGAGGTATGATTTTCTAGGACCTTAAATTTAATGAATATTTGATAAACCTACTAAAATATAAAATCCTATATTTTCTGCTTCCCTTTACAGAAACTGCTTGACCTAGCTGATTCCTTACGCCAAAATCTTGAGAAAGAGTGCAAGGAGAAAGCAGAACTTGAGTTTAAAATACGGCAAGAAGTTTGTAATGAGTACTCAGAATACAGTGATGCACTTCTTGAGAATCAAAGGTAAATGCAATAAAATGTTAATATAATAGTTGTAATATTTGTTTTTATATTTATTGAGTTAACATTTTATTGAAAAAGGCTATATTTAATCTGTAATTTTAATAATAAATAAATTTCCTTTGATAGGCGTGTCGTTAGCTGTACAAGGAAAGGCCACATAAATTGTATAATTCTTTTGGGGGGAGAAGGAGAGTAATAATATTTTGCTTTAAAATATGTTATTGTGACTCTCCAGATCAAACAGTGATTTGGGGAATGTAAATGAAGAAAAAGACTGAACTATTACAAAATAAAGTACCAGATATAAAGTGCAAATTAACCTCATGACAAGATAGGTTTGTCCTGAAGAAAAAGTGTTATAATGTGAAAATAGTTATTATTAATACAGTGTTACCTAGGTATACATCATTAATCCATTTTGGGTCCTTGGACATATATCGAACTATTCCAATAGTAAATAAAGAGGAAATAATTAATCTGTTCTTCTTATAAAAATCGTGTTATTAAAACACTATTAAATACATTACGAATGCAGTGGGTGAAATACATGCTGTACATAATTTTTTTTTCTATCCAGATAAAAAAAAAAAAAAAAAATTAACATGCTTTAAAATCTCTGATCTTTGTTTACTATCGATTTCACTTTCTTTGTAGTGTCAGCTGATTTAATGGTATATTTGATTTTTTTCAGTTGTAGACACCAGCGTAATCAACGTACTGTATACAATAACCATCTCCCAGATGATCATGCTATCTTCATACTTTGTAATAGTATCTTTTTTCACCTCCTCACCTCCATGATGATACTAACAGTTTTCTTCTTTTCTTGACTCTTCTCATTAACTTTCGTAAAACTCACTGTTGATGAATTAAAATATTTATTTGAAAAAACACAGTCACCTTGAAATTCAGAGTTATAGTATGGGTTGTGTACTGAATAATAGTAAAAGACATATTGAAGCTCATGAGCAATTAAGGCATAGAGGCAAACAAGTGTAGTGTGTGCAGTTGTGACTCGCCGAACTAGAATGTATTCCGAACAAATATCGTATACCAAACTATTTGCATCCACACAGTACATATTTCAAAATGGACTTATCGCAAAATACCACTGTATTTTCTTATAATAAATTGCTAAATGACATTGCTTGTTAATTTGGTGAAATAAATCTTCTTGTATATTTAGCAAGTTATTTTTAATTAGCTCCAAAATTTTGTATTAAAAAAGTGAAGAGGAAAAAAATTATAATTACAGGTTTTTTTTGGGAGGGGGAAGGCTCTTACCTGTAGTGATTGAAAACATTAATAACGAATGCAACTTCAAATGCATAATTCAGTGAAGCTACACTTCATGAATGTAATTCATACCTGAATTCTGTTCATCATTTAAAATTTTCATAAATTTAACCTATTTTCCTCATTAGATTTATTGTTAAATGGATTAATCCATTTATGGACCACACATGATAGCTTATTTAAATTTTACATCTGTACCTTGTGTACAAGTTCATGATGCAAAACATACAGCTATCATTAATTCTAAGACAAGAAAAATGAACCTTAATTCTGAAGCTATAAAATAAACAAAAGCTTAATTAAAATTAACTGTAGCTTATATAGAGAAGAATGAATAATAAGAGTGGAAAGAGATTTTATTGCTTCGATGAAAAATCCTCTTTTATAAAAACATCAGGTAATTGCCTTTTTAAGGCAGTTTTCTTTTATCTCATCTTTGAGCTGTTCGACCATAAGTTAACTTTACTTCCTCATATGACCTCCCAATGAAGGAAATTCTTTAAAACTGAATTTTTTTTAAAGTCTTGTCAAATAACCTCATGGGGAGCTGATTGAAGCTCAATGCTGCTTATATATAGATCCCTTATCCATTCAAAACTTGACTACGGATCAGCCATTTATGGGTCAGCAAGACCTTCCGTGCTTGCCAAACTTGATCCGGTACACCACGAAGCAATTCGGATCTGCACTGGTGCCTTTAGAACTTCTTCAGTGGAAAGCCTGTATGTGGATAGCAACGAGACTTGACACGAGCAACTTTGTCTCAAGCACTATTTTAAAATCATGTCATAGATCCAGAATCCCAACCATCTACATTTACTCAATGATTCATGCTCTCGTTTATATCAGGCATGCCCATCACGTATCCCATCATTTGGTTAACCCTTTGAAGGGCACCGGTATATAATATATACCGGTTGTTTATCAATTTTTTAACCTCCGAAAAAATACTAATTTTTCTACACCAAAAGCTATAATCGTAAGTGTCTAGTATTTTCTTTCGATTCTAAATGGCAACATCACCCTATGAATGCTCAATATTTTACAGTTATGAAATTAATATATGTCGTTCCAAGGTATCATGTTGGAAGATTGATAAATTCTATTGGAGGGAAAGAAAAAATTCAAAATCTGCAAATATATGACGTACGCATGCTGAATCTTATATATTTACTTCATTTCAGTCAGAAATGATAGTTAACAGCAGATTATTTATACGATTTTAAAACCGGTATATAATAGATATCGGCGCCCACACTGAGGGTACCACACCAATAGATGGCAGCACCAGTCTTCTCCTTTTCTACTCTGTGACGTGACAGAATTTCTTTATTATTATAACAGTTTATGATGTAATAATATTTCGTGATTAACTTATAAGTCGTTTAGGATTAAATATTATGTTCATGGAGGGAATGGGGAGTTTTCTGACCCTGCGCTAGGACTGAATACAAGTATATTAGTTTCATTTATTTATTCTTTGTGTACTCAGCTCAAGTTTCATTCGTCTGTGTTTAGCTAAAATTTTTATTTCAGCACTTATCTCTTTCCCAAGAGAAAGACTCATCGATTTCACAATTGCCGTCTGGGGTCAAAACTTCACACAATTGTGGGGGTTAAATGTGGCATGCTAGCCCCCGAAAGACACCTGTTGCTTCCTGTTTTCCAAAATCCTAGAATGTAAGAAAATGGAAAGAGGTGATTGACAACTAATTTGTCTTTCCGGAGCCAGGCCTTCTTCCCTTTGTGAAGTGTGATAAGATCACACAAAGGGAAAGCTCACTTAAAATGGAAATGTACTTAAGGTCCATCTCATAGTGTAATTACAAAAACTGCTGATTTGAAAGCATGCTTTTATTCTTTAGGGAAATTCTTTTTAATTCTTTGTTAATTTCAGATGAAAGACTAGAGAACACAAGAGAAATTTGCGCTCTGGTTGATACAAATAGGTTGTTTCCGAAAATAAATTTTCACAGTTGGTGAAAGGAGGAAAAAATATTTCTAAGCCCCGTTTTAGATGCAAACTAAAATGTATCCAAAAGTTGAAAAGGAGCTTCTCAAAGCTCTTATTCTGATTTTCCTTTGGTATGCTGCTGTAACCAAAGGATCATAAATTTCAAAGATATCCTATGAAGCTAAAGGGATTGAAAATCCTATGAAGCAGGGAATAAATAAGAGCTTTGAGGTGTATCAAATAGTAAAATTGTTTAACGGTGTTTCTTCCTGAACAAAAAGATATATTACAACCTATATTTACAAAAAATAAAAAAGGGACCCTTACGGTCCTCTGTAATCTAAAGTGTGTGTGCGTGGATGTGCTTACATGTGTTTTGGTCAGTGGCTGTCTTTTCTAGGCAAGCACTAGTGGTAAAAACAGCATCTATTACAAATCGTGGCGTTTGTGATTTTACTTTTCATTTTAGTCTATGTTACCAAACATAAAAACTGCACAAACGTTTAGACTCGGCAAATGAATGTTGAAATGAAGAATAAAGGGGGGGGGGGGGAAATTAACTTTAACTGACTGTTAGTAAAGTTTTATTAAAATGTATTCTCATCATCTTTAAAATATATGCGACTGTTCTAAGTGTAAAATATAAAAGTTTCAAGAAAATTTTTAATTTAATACTTGACAAATTTTAAGTTGGTTTTATTCTTGAATTTGTTTTATAATTGTGGTAAATATTAGATAACTTTTAATAATGAATCCTACATAGCGATCTATTTTCTTGTGAAATTTGGCCAAGATATTGCTTTAGCATTTTATTATATTTTGTATTTATTTTATTATTATTATTATTTATTAGATTTAGTTTATAATTGATGGTTCTTAAATGTATTTAATTTCTGTGCAAAAATGTTACGAATCTTGAGTAATATTTCTAATTTGAAGTTGAATTAACTTCTGTAAATCAAAATTATAGGAGAATTTTTGAAGAAGAAAAATCCTCAATTATTGATATAAACAAGAGGAGAATTGAAGCTTTAGAAGAAATGTATGAGAGAGAGATAAAAAGTTACAAGCAACAAATAGAGGAATATGAAGCGTTATTAGATGAAAGTCGGAATACTTCTGTTAATACTGAAATCAATACATCAACAGCTCAAGTAAGTTTATTTAATAGTTCAAGTAAGTTTCTAGTGAAAGAGAATCAGTTAAAAATTTTAATGATTTAAATTCAGTTGTATAATGCACGTGTTAATACAGCTCATTTTCTTGAAATATCATTTTTCACAAATTAATAAAATCTAATTAAATCTAATTAAACATGCTTTAAAAAACAATGAATGAAGCTGGTACATATTGTTAACATATGTGGGTGAAAGTAAGTATCGCATATGTGCTATTTTTTTAAAATTATTTTTCCTTTCTTTAAAAGATCTTGAAAAAGTAAGCCAGAAATGATGTTTAGAGTAATTGCATGTTAATAATTTTTGATTTATCATTTCTTTTGAAGATTAAAAAAAATAAGTAATATTAAAAATTAATGCATTTTTGCTAGACTAAGTTATTTTCAAAAGATGCTTTTCTTTTCCTTTTTCCCCCTTTTTTCTTTTGTTTTTGTGCATGTGTATGCACTAAATTCTTTCTTTGTATCTTTAATGTATATGGTATCCTTATGCAGGCTGACCAGAAATGACAGCAAACTTGATAAAATTGCCATTAATAATATATCAGTTAGAAAACCAGAATTTCAACATAACAGTAGATTTGCTACTTTTGTTAACAGTTTTATTGACTTCTGTTCAGTCATTCTTTAAACTTGAGCTAAAAAATTTTTTTGATTCAAATATTTTTTAAATACATTTTCTGAAGAAAAATTGTTTAAGGGGAAAAATTTTTTTTCTCTCATAGATTTTCTCCGATACTTCTTTTGCTGCTGCTGATGAAGACCATGATGGAAAACAAAGTATGTATTTCATATTTTGAGTTAGTGACATTTCCATTAGTATAGTTTTGTTATTATTATTATTATTATTTGAGTACTTCTTTAACACTGATGCACAGATTTCAACTACTATGCGGTATTGGAACTTTCTAACAGAAATTTCTTAAAAATTATGAGTTATGGAAAGTATCTAAAAAAACTATGTATTTTACTTAAACAGGGACAAAGGGAATAGTATGCAAAATGAACCCAACTTATTCCTTCGGTAATTGGTTAAATGGTCATGACATTGTGCTAAGTTGATGGTTTTGCTAATTTTGAAGAGTAACCAATCATAGTTCAGCAAATTTTGATTTTTATCTTTCCAATCAAGTACCTTCCGGTGAAGGGCTTGTTTACCCCATAGGTCCTGTACCGTAGGTACCATTGTAGTGAAAAAACATAACGTGTCTCATGCAAGTTGCGATTAAACTCGAAGGTTTTTAGGTTTGTAAATTACGTCATCTCAGAAAGAGGTTAAAATTATCGTACCAGAAATTTAAAGACTTATATTCTATAGAATTTCCATAAATTAAAGCATCCAATGTTTCTGAAAATCGTGCACCTTGCACTAACAACAAAGACCTTTCAGTTGCACAATAGCATTAAAGGTGACTATAAATGGCATATATTTTCTCAAAGGTATAAAGAAATTAATACTGTAGACCCGAACGAAATATCAAATTTCTTCCTAAAGGACAATGAAACGGTAGCTACAAAAGCTGAATTTTTAATTGATTTTTAGCTAAATACAACCTTCCAATTTCAGTTATGGACCATTCAAAGCAGCTTTTAAATGCTACGTTTCCAGATTCTGCCATAACACAAAAATACCTCATTCAAATGCAACCTGTGAAAGAATTTTTTCTATTGGTACAAGAAAGAACCAAATTTCGACCAAATTTGGGTACAAAAACTCTTGAAGGCATTCTCATTGCAAAAGTAAACTTGCGGCAAAGTGAAGAATTCTGCTAAAAATAAAAGATTACGTAATTCAGAGCTTCAGTTTGCACAGCATGCTACTTCTAAATCTCTATATTCATAACTTATAAATGAATTATAAATATTTTTTTACATAATTATTTGTCTCTATCTAAAATTTAGTTTTTTTCTTCCTGTGTACAAAATTGAATCCCGAAATTGAATATTATGGATTCCACTTTCCTCTACAATTATTAGCTTCAATAATATTGTGTGCATACAGGTTGGTAATGGATAGAATGCATACAACTCTAGGTTGATAAAATTTATTTTATCAAAAGAAACATTTCAGAGTTCTGGAACTTTCCACAAAAATAGTCATAGAACTCTTCGCAGTATCACAGAGTACAATCAGTAGTCATACTTCAAACTTCTAAGAACATTAAACAAAAGACAATGCAAAGCACATCTAAAGAGATCACCGCAGATATCTCAACACATCAAACTCGTGCTCAACTAACAACTGAGAGCAGATGCTCTGAAATATCTCAGCGGCCAGGTGAAGAACCTGGCCAAACGACATATTTCTAGTACTTTCTGCTTCTCAAAATTATTGGAAGGCATATGAGGGCCGAATATGGTGACAGTTACACAGGCATTAATACAATTTGTTCAATGTCCATTACAGTTATACAGGGACCGGGCGAAAATCTTGCCAAGTTTGGCGATTTCTTCCCAAAATTGTGATAAAATTTTGTCACTAAAACCGTTGCAAGCTTGGCAATTTCTAGCCAATTTAGTGAGATGGCCATGTACTCGATGTTAAATAGACTTGCTGTTGTATTCTTACTTTTCTGCAGTCTTTGCTTTTCATGTTACATTATACAGAAAAATACAACAGTTTCACTTATAATTGTGCTAAAATTATTTATCTATGTACAAAATTCGTAACACTGTATTAGTGGATAAGATATTTCTGACTAATAAAATTTAAATTTCTAACAAAATATGCATATAGTTTACAATAATCATTAATTTAATTAAAAATTTTTTTCTTTTTAGATTTTAAGTTTAATGCAATTAATTGAAAAAATGCCATGGTTGTTAATATTTTTAAAATTGTAAAAATATTCATGCGTTGATTACTGACAAGGTTTTTCTGTAAGTTGGAATGTATGCTAATGTACACTTTTTAACTATCTGAGAGTTATGCCTTTGGCCCTGTAAACCTAAAGTTCCTGAAAATGCCATGGATAAATGGTATGATTTTTATTATAATTCCAAAATGGGCTTCTTGGTTTGTGCCTTGTTTTTCTTCCAGTATCTAACAAGCCCAAAATTGAAACAGGTGTTGGCAGAAATTTTCTTTTGTAATGAATTTGAAAGTCATCTTTCAATGTGGAATTCTATATCCTTAATCACTGGAAGGTTAAAGAGGCACACTTTAAGAAATTTTAGAATAGTTTTTTGTGGGGTGTCAAGAAATTAGATTCAGAAATTATTAGTAAAAATATATTCTCAATCTGTTTTTTTATTCAATAGTAAGCCTTTTAAAAGTGTTTAAAGTGTTTATTGGAAGATACATATGCATATCTGTATATATGTTTAATGTAATCAAACAAAGATGCTTATGTATAATTATTGTTCTAATAGATATTATTAAGTCTGAGATTTGCCATTCAGAAACCTTACCTAGTGAATCACCAGCAGCACTGCTTAAACAGTATATTGAGAAAAATAAAAATTTGGAAAAAGAAATGAATTCCCTGAAGGAAAAATTAGAATTAACTGAAATGGAACTCCAGAAGACAGTTTTAAAAGGTTTGAATGATTATACTCTATATAAATAAACCAATCATAACTTTTTAATTTAACTTCTTGATTTATTTATTTCTTGATTTTATTTACTTCTTGATTACTTCTTGATTTTACTTTATAATTCATTTATGTATGTTTTAGAGTTGTTTCTCAGCAAAAGGGTCATCACTTATAATTTTCAAGTAAACAGAAATATCAATATATGTGTAGCAAACACATTCTGTGGTCAGTGGCAGGTTGTTGGAATTATGGATAAAAAATACTATATACGAGGGTTGGAGAAAAAGTTATGGCAACTATTTTTTTCTTGTAGATATGTGAACGGATCACAAAACGTATAGGTGTTGTGTTTAAGTTCTGCAGGCATAATGTGTATGAAGAACAACAAATGGCTCTATGATAGCTGGCTCTGTGGTAGCGAGGGCTCTGAAATCAGTCAGTTGGTGAGTGTCGTGCGAGATGGAAGTAACTTGTGTTGAGCAGCTCACTTACATCAAAATAGCCGTTCTCTGAGGGAGAAATGTGATGGAATGTCACAGTGAATTAATATGCCCTTGGGAATAATGCCCTACCATATCGTACAGTAGCATGGTGGGTAGGAAAGTTTCAGCAAGGACGTGTGTCAACCAGTGATGAGCAACGTTCGGGACGACCGGTGAGTGTGCGGACCGACTTGGCACATGCCGTCATCGAGCACCTGATTGATGAAGACAGACGATGGATGTTACTGGAGTTAGGGCAAGTGGCATCGACAAATGCACCATCCACAGGATATTGCGTAATGAGCTACAGCTACGCAAAATCGCTTCGCAGTGGGGTGGGTGCGCTATGCAATATGCTCCGACCACTTTGCGCGCTGGCAACAGAACGGTGATCAATTCTTGTCGCGAATAATTGCCATTGATGAATTTTGCGCCCTGGCATACGAACCATAACTGAAACGTCAGTCCGCGGAGTGGCGACATCCTGGATCACCAAGGCAGCAGCAGGTCCGTCAAAATCCTTCCCCAGTCAATTTGATGGTGATCATCGCGTATGACGTCAGGGGTGTCATTGTTTGCCACTTTGTTCCTCATGGCAAAACAGTGACCGCACAGTACTCCAGGGACTTCCTGGTGCGACAGGTACGACGTGGCGTTCGGGATAAAAGTCTGGATCTTATGGACAGTGCAATAATTCTGCACGACAATGCAAGACCACATAAAGCAGAGTGTGTACGGCAGCTACTCCGACATCGGGTATAGGAAGAACTGGAGCACTCACCGTACTCTCCTGACCTTTCGCCCTGTGACTTTGATCTCATTCCCAAGATTAAGGAACCAATACGTGGTAGGCGGTTTGCACACGAGAGCACATTGCTAATGCTGTGCACCAACAGATGACCTGATTCACATATGGTGCTGCAAATGCTGAGGCTGATGATATTCAGCGCCTCCCACATCGTTGGCAGCGCATGGTGACAGTAGCAGGAGACTACATTGAGAGTCTTTAGGCCCAAGTTTGTCATGTCAACTTTATGTGTATTGTGTTATTCTTTTGCACGGTGAATACCATTTTACCCTGGATACTACCATAATAAATTCGTGTGTTATGATATTTCAGTGTTATTTATTGTCCACACATGTAGTTAAGACTTTGTCCTTTTTGTCTGTAAATGTCACATTTTCCAACCGAACTGGTATCTTCAAGAAAAAAAAATAGTTGCCATGACTTTTGCCCTAACCTACGTACATTATGCAATGTTCATGTAACATGTATTATTGGGTTATGTTTATTTATAATAAAGGTTATACATAATGTGGTTCTATCATGCATTATATATTTAATGTTTATTTTCTTTCTCTCTTGCATGTATGATATTAAGGAATTTTGGCATTTTTGCTTACACATTTATTTAGCACAGAAATGAAAGAGCTAGATCTCTATTATGTATATCAGTGGTTTTGCGAACATGTTAGGAATTTGACTAAATTTCAGGTGCTCGGGCCGTATTGTGACTCGAATTTCTTCGAAATATGTATCTTATAATTTTTGGTTGCTTGTTTACACAAATTTTTCAGCAAGTCGGAGATCCCACTGGTTTATATAATATATGGCTATTAAAGGGTTGGCAGAAAAATGAAATAGTTTTTTCCATCTTATGACAATGATGCATATTCAGTGAAGAATCAAACTAAATAAAGCCTAAACCTTTGTGTTAATTTTTAGAATAATTGGAAGAAAGCTATATTGGGCCTCTTTTGGCTCCTTTATTATACGGTTTTTTGACTTGTTCTGGTTTAACAAGAGTTTTGCAGGTTACGAATTGTTTATTTCTAGTTAAGTTTTGACCAACTAGTTTTTCTAGTTAAATTTTGTCTATTGTATTTTAGTCCATCGAGCACTTTTCAAATTAACTACTATATTACCCAAAACTGGATTTCATTGAACCATGGCTAAGGTTGAAAATAACAAGGAATCTATTAATTCAGATAGCTGACCTTACACAGATTAAGCACATTATTTGCAGATCAAAACAAAGCTATTCTCAAAAGTATTGTAAATATTGTAAGGTTAGAGAAAAATCTATCTTTGGCTAGAAAAGACTTCCTAATGATAAACAATATGTAAATTCTGCTGGCAGTTAACCCCCTTCGTGACATCATGTTGCTGAACTGAAGACCCTTTGGAGAAGGGTGTTTAGACTGACTATATATGCATTAGTCTCAAATGTCGCTAGTAGTTGAGTGATGCACAGGTGCATTGCCACCCACAGTAATATTCCAGATAGGTGTATCATACATGCATTTTTTAAACAAATGCATTCTTTTAGAATTTTTTACAACACTAGATGGTGCTTTGTATCCACCGCAGTTAGCTTATTTGAACCTATACATTATTGACCATGTGTCTGTGATTCTGACGTTCTGATTCTGATAATTCATTTAGATGTACAAGCGGGCAATATAAAACAAAATAATAGTAAACGAAACCCAGCTGATGTGCAGTTGAGGCATCACATGATGTAAACTTTGAACAGCTTCTGATACTTCAGTTTTTTTTTCCCCCTCTTCCTATGGTAACATTGAGAATGGAGCTGTGGTTTTTAGGAATTACCATTTGTATTCTGTTTGCATCTTTATATAGCAGAAGTAAGTTTTTTAGCAACAGTTTAGAGCAGCGGTCGCTAAGTGGTCTTTGAAAACTTTTTCATGGTCTGCAGAAAAATTGGGACTTTATTTTCATGAAGATTCAGTTTACAAAATGATGAGTAACAAAACCTATTATGGAATATGGATTATAATTTTTAAAAAAAAATTTAGCTACTATTTTTAGTGAAATTCCATCTGAATTTAGCTACTTTTGCAGGTGTATCTAGAGACATTTGTAAATTAGAGTTGGCATCAATGGATATGCTGCTATTATCAAAAATATCGTGAACTGGAATTCTCTTTCCTTTTGAATTACAAACATATGCCATTGTGGTCGTTAATAACAGTTTTTCTCCGTGTCAATAGGCATCTTGGTGGACTTTTATGAAAACCATCTGCATTCTTGTTTGTAATTGCACAGCAGCTTCACTGCCAGCCTTCGTCTGGCTTTTAAATGTACCAGAAAAATGGCTGAAGGGAACACCAAACGTTAAATTTATGTTAAATTTAAAAACTGCGTAGAATTTTACTCTGCAGAACAACTTCATAAAAAAAGTTATTACGTATAACAAAATTACAATGAAATAAGCAATATCCTTTAATACAAATATTAATTATCCTAATAAATAAATTAACCAACTTCCCTTTGCAAAATCTTAAGAAGTCAAATATTATAAGGGAGGTTAAGAACTTTGCTTCCTATAAAAATCACTCAAAACTTTTTAATATCTTAAAAACAGGGAAATGAGCAATAAATAACATAAAAGAATACAAAAACAAAAAATTCTGAAAAGTAAAGTATAATTAATGATATTTTATCTTGTATTTTCAAGAGAAAAAAATACAACGAAATAAGCTATATCCCTTAATACAAATATTAATTATCCTAATAAAAAAAATTAACCTGCTTTCCGTTGAAGAAAAAAAAATCATGCAAAACTTTTCAATATCTTACAAACAGTGAAATAAGCAAAAAAATAACATGAAAGCAAATGAAAACATAAAAATCCGCGCAGAATTTTTTACTCTGCAGAACAATTTATACAAAAAAAATTAATAAAAATGTATTATATATATATAAATGGCAATGAAATATGCCAATCTCTTAAAAATAGTGACATAAGAAATACAATGAAAAATTGTTGCCAAACCCATATTTCTAAAAGAATGAAACTATTCAAAATGATTGATTTCATCAAAAATCTATCAACAACAATAAGACAGGAAAATTGTTGCCAAAATCTCATTTTTAAAGATATGAGATGTGAGAAGTGTACTCGGAAGCTTCATTTAAAAATACAAAATATTATAATTTTTCCAAAATTCTTTTTGTAAAAGCAGTCGCAAGGATGAAAGTTTAACATGTCCAAAAATCAAAGGCAAATAAACTGTACATTTTTAAAAATAAACCTTTTTAGAAAAAATCCTGTTGAAAAGGTGTTAAACTCCCTTTGTTAAATAAATTCGTATCGAATCGATTTATTGAAACACGAAATTTATTTTAAGTTCGTAAAATAGCTAAGTGCCTACGTTTCATGACGATGTGAAAGTGGAGTGTGCAGAGTAAAATCTTGATTTCCTATAGCCCATTATGTCTCAAAATTACGCGATTTCATCACAAAACATAAAATTAAAAAAATTCTAATTCGAATTTCGAAAAAATTGCTTCGAGGTGCACTGGCTCTTGTCTAGATGCACCTATGTACCAAATTTCGTAGCCGTGGGTCTATTAGCTTACGCTAGGCGCAAACGAAAGACGCACACACACAGACAGACTCTTTCTTTTATTATATGTAGAGATCACTGAAAGTTTTTGTTTTGTCTAACTGTTGATCAATGCCACCATTGCTGAGTAAGCGATGATTTATTATG